GCCAGGTTGTGCCGTTGGCAGTCACCCGGGGAGCAGCGTGGCCTCGTCTGGGCCCGCGTGGACCCCGACTCTGCTGGACCTACCAGGAGCCCACGAAAGTGGCGACAGTTTCGCAGTTCGCAGCCACACAGGGAGCAGCGAGGTCCCGTATGGGTGCGCGTGGCCCCCCGACTCCGCTGGACTTCCCTGGAGCCAACGAAAGTGGCCACAATCGTACAGTTCGCAGCCACCCAGGGAGCGACAGTTGCGCAGTCTGGAGCCACCCAGGGAGCAGCGAGGTCCAGCCTTGGTGCGCGTGTCCCCCGACTCGTCTGGACCTTCCAAGACCCCACTCAAGCGCGCAGATCGCAGCCACCCACGAAGCAGCGAGGTTCGCCTGCGTGCGTATAGCCTCCACTCCGCTGGACCTCCCCGGAGCCCACGAACGTGGAAACAGTTGCGCAGTTCACGGCCACTCAGGGAGCAGCGAGCTCCCGTCTGAATGCGCGTAGCCCCCGACTGCGCTGGACTTCCCAGGAGCCCACGAAAGTGGCGACAGCTGCTGGTTCTCAGCCACCCAGGGAGCAGCGAGGTCCCGTCTGAGTGCGCGCGGCCCCCGACTCTGCTGGACCCCTCCGGAGACAACGATAGTGGTGACAATTGCGCAGTTCGCAGCGACCCAGGGAGCAGCGAGGTCTCGGCTGGGTGTGTGTGGACCTGCACTCCGCTGGACCTCGCAGGATCCCACGCAAGTGGCGACAGTTGCCCAGTCCGCAGCTGTCCAGGGAGCAGCGAAGTCTCGTCTCGTTCCGCGTGGCCCCCGACTCCGCCGGACTTCCCAGAACCCACGAAGGTGGCGACAGTTGTCGATTCGCAGCCGCCCAGGGAGCAGCGAGGTCTCGTCTGGGTCCGTGTAGCCCCCCGACTCCGCTGGGCCTCCCAGGAGCCCACGATAGTGGCGACAGTTGCGCAGTTCGCCGCCACCCAGGGAGCAGATCGGAGGAGGCAGGAGGAAGAGAGGAGATGATGAGTGTAGGTCGCGGCGCTCTATCCACAGCGAGAACCCTACACGGGAGGGTTGGGAAAAAACAAAAGCGGGGGTTGTTCGTAGTTTTCGGCGTCTGGGGGGCCTCGCCTTATCCAGGACCGCCAAACAACGATCCGGGACGGAAAACCAGTCCTTGGGAAGTGGCCCAAAGTTCCGGAGATCCCGTTTTACAAAATCAAGACATTGGAGATCTGGCGCGTCCACGGAAGGTTCTTGGGCACCATTGTCATGCCTGGCTGGAGCCATCCTGGGCCCTGGCATTGTATCCTGCCCGTGGCCAGGAGGGCTAGACAGTGTACACCATGCCGGGGCCCAGGGTGGCAGGGTGGCCTTGGCCAAGCACGGGGGTAGTGTGCAGGTGCCTCCTGCGCAGGTGTCGCAGCGCAGGAGGCCACAGCGGGTGCATCGAACAAGAGGGTAGCTAGCCAGCAGGTGCCTCCCGGCCACACCCGGCAGGAGGTTTGAGAACAACGCTGGCTTTGCAGGGCCACCCTTCTGTTCTTCATGCTCGGGCGTTCCACTTTGGGATGGGAATCGCTCTGGGTATCTCCGTGGGGCCCTGGTCCCTCGTTGACGTGACTCGTGCTCGTGACCCACGTTCCTGTGGCCAGGGCTCGATTGTATGCCTTGCTCCCTGGCGGCTCCAGGGACCCCGTGGAACTCCGGGGCCATGTTTGTTGCGAATTTCAGGGGTCGCCAGAAGGCTGTTCCAGGGTGTGGTGCACTAGATTTGGTGCAATAGGTTTGTGGGTTGCAATCGATCTGGGGCGTGCAATACATTCCGGGGCGCAAATGTTTTGCTGCATTTTCGCGTGCAATGCATCAGTTGCAGTACGACGCAAGACAAGTCTCCGGCGCAATACGTTTGCAGTGCAGTTGAACCAAATCTATCGCACCACCCTTTTTTCAGCTGGCCCCCTTTTGACTCACCCGAAGCTGTTGTCGTCGGCGACGTGGGGCACGGAACATCGGGCGGCGTCGGCCAGGGCGCGGCAGAGCTTCCGTTGCCCACCGGAAGGAGGGGGGGGAGAAGAGGAGGGCGCCGAGGGTCGACACGGCACGTGCCCCTGCAACTCTTGCGGTCCCCGTGTTGTATCGCAAGTTCTTGCCTCAAGGCGGGCGCGTCCCTCTACAGGAGGAATAGCCGAAAATAGTAAAACATAGTCTGGGGAAGATTTTCCTATGTTTGCACATTGTTGAATCTTGTTTGGCAATTTAGAATTTTCCGCCCAAAATCCGCCTGTAAGAGGACCTGCCCGACCTAACCATAGACGCCGTGGATCAGGTTCGGGCTGATGGGTCATTTGCAAAGGGGGCCTCAAAAGTGTATTTTATGGTTTGTGCAACTGTTCGTGCTGGATCGTGCTGGATGTGGGCGGAATGCGTTGCGTTTGGCATCGCTGGTCCGTGAGAGCGGCCACGCGCCATGAGCAACAGGGTGAACTATTGCACATTTTAGCGACCCCATTACCGAAGACCCCCTTTGCCCGGAACCAACTGGAGCGCACAGCTTTTCAGGACGGCTCTTGCAAGGGCTTCGGCTTCGTGGACTACGCAACGGAGGAGCATGCCCAGCTAGCGGCGGTGCGAGGGGCTTGGCGCCACGCTCCGCCGATCCACAATCTTCGACCCTGCCGAGAATGCCTTCGATCCTCGATCTGGCGCGATTGCGCGGCACGCTTGTCCTCGATGCTTGCCGTCGCCATTGCTGCAGTCGCCGCTGCCGCTCCTCATGGCATCACGTGCTTTTGCTCGTCGTTCTCGTGGCTGTCCTCCTGGCCGCCCTACCACGCATCCTCTTTCCTTTTCTGCCTCGCCTTCTTCCCCCTCCCTCCTCCTCCGGTTCCTCCTTCTCATCTTCCTCCTCTTGCTCCTCCTCCTCCTCCTGCTCCTCCTCCTCCTGGGCAAGATATTGCGCGCCAAAGGGTCTCCGACAAGCAACCGAAAAGGCGAAAAGCCAAACGAGTTGCGGTACGGTCCCAGTGGCCAGCTTTCTGGGAACTCGGGAAGTGCCCGCTGCCGTGTGTCTATATTCGCATCGTCCGAGCCTGGCTCGCAAATTCCCAGAGCAGGCAAATGACAGACAAGAGAGGCGAGATGACAAGATCACACCGCAGCGAGAGCAACCAACTAGGACGACACCGTCCTGCAAACTGACACTCACCAAAGCATTTGGCCTCTCGCCCTTCTCACGGAGGGCCTGGAACGCTCTGGATGCACGAAAACAATGTCTTGGGGGAGGGCCTTGTGCACAATCTGGAGTTGCGGGCAGGGGGCTTGCCACGTTGGAAGGGAGGGAGGGTGCGAGGAGTGAGGAAGATCTTCCCCCACCCTGCCCACCCACCTCACCCAGGACTTCATAACTTTGGAACGAGCAGCGATGGCGGCGGCCTGCGGCGGCGGCACTCGGAAAGCCAGGGCCGCCCATCGGGCGTGCTTGTCGGCCATTTTATTGCCGAGCCTGACTCTGACCGAGCCTCTGCCCGAGCTAACATCGGCGCGCGTGGCGTGGGTTGGAACTTTAACGAATCGAGCGGGCGATCACGATTTGAACCGTCGAACCCCAATCTTCGTGCCTCGCCCACACCTCGCGTCAGAGGAACACTGGGGGTCAGCACCTGTTCAGTATGGAACTGGCCCCTGGACATGACCACGTCGAAAACGTATTTGAAACCAGCGCGCAAGAGTAAGCGAGGCCATGGCTGCTTAGGACACTCTGGAACGGCTCTCAACCCTGTTTGATCAATCGTGGCAAAAGGCGGGGGAGATTGGGCCGCAGATCAAAGCAGTGACCTCGCGGAGGGTTCTGGCTCCTTTCGCTAGTGCAACAGCAGACCAACCTCCAATGAACCATCAAGAACACATGTCCAGTGAGCCGGTCAGGGGACCCGTGGACCCAGAGCAAAGGAGGGCGGTCGGGCAAGTGGTCACGCTCTGAGAGCGGCATCGGCATCAAGGACCTCTCGGCAAGCAGCTGCTGTAGGCCACCGTTGCGGGCGGCTCTACCAAGAGACTGACATAACACGTTGAGCTCACCAAGCTTCAAAGCGTATATTCTGCACATGTGCAACGCCTGTGCAACAATGCGCCTGCTCTCATGCTGCCCGTAGTCTGGCAAACTTGGCAGTGTGGCTCAACAGGTTACCTACCCTTCCACTGTCTCGCCATCAGCCACTGGGCCCCGATGACACACGACCGCTCATACGAACGAGGCTGTCGCAAAGCCTCGGAGCGCAAAACGGATAGGACAGAAACGAGGAGCACTTCAGCCTTAAAGCCAACATGCTTGGCTATCTTCGCGCACCGCCAAAGATGAGCTGTTCGCAAGACGTGCTGCTTGACTGCAAAGGGGCAGGCTTCAGAGATATTCAGAACACGATCTTCAGGAATGCCCAAGAGCGCCAGAGAGTGCGTTCGAATACCATCCCGATGCAGAGAAGCCCAAAGAGTAATGAAAGGCCGAACGATGGATATCCATGGGTACTAGTAGAGGCTGAGATGGGCATCCACTTGCCGGAGACTCTTACCGGGGACCTGCCGGGACATCCCAGACTCATGCAGACGTCAGGAAAAGCTTGACGGGCAACCAAGTTTCTTTGATAATGGGGTCGAGATCCTCGGCGAGTGCCAGCATGGGGGCCGAAGTGCGGCTCTTCCCTGCTTGCTTGTAATCCTGCAACTTGCCTGCGAGACGCCGAAGCGCCCAAAGCTCCTTCTCATCGACACCTGCAACGGCCGTGCCAAAGGACGTTGCGCCCTCAAGCGCTGACCAACTCATCTGGCCATCTGACCCAGAAGTTTTCTCTGGGGCCGCCCTGACTTCAAAGCGGACGCGCGGCATTTCCTCTTTTTGCTAATTTGAAACAGCGCAGCAGCAACGCGCCGCAGCCGAACCCTCCCAACGGCAAAATCGACGCCCACGTCGCGTTCAGTTGCCGTGGCCTGAATTCCAAGATGTCGAAGATTTGCGAGCGAGTCTTATTCGTAGTTGCCGCGGTCTGTTGGGCGCCGGCTCTTTGGCTAGCACGAGCTGCATGTCCATTGCGTGCAATTCTGGAACGAGACGCTCGGCCGAGCGCTCAAGCTCCCCCCGCGCGTTCATCGCCCCTGATGCGCCGCGGGGAAAATCGTCGCATCTGGCAGCTAGAACGACCGAGCGGCGCACAGCTCGGGGCCCTGTCTTCGGGCCCGAGAAGTTGCGGCTGAAGCATCGGCGCGGCCGAATGCTAATTGGGCCACCGTTCGCTGCGCGTCCACAAAATCACCGCGCGCCCCGCGGATATCAAGCACCCCTCGGCGACTTGTCAACTTCAACTAGGAGACGGTGCCGCCAGGGCGGAGACGGCAAGTCTATAACTGCCTGTGAAGGGTGATGATGTTGTGCGTAGTCGATGGCTTTCTTCAGACCCAGAAGGACGGTTCCCGAGCAGCGCGCTTGGAGCGCGCAATACTAAGGGCTAGAGATCCACGCGCGCTTCTCGGCTGATCTGCCTTTCGTGGGCCGCCGGGAGGGACCGAAGTTGCAGCGCTGCCCGTAGCAGATTAGCGGGCGACGCCGAAGACGGCGGAGAATGCGCGGCGCGCCGAGAGGTCGAACGCCTCCGAGCCGCTCCACGGCGAAAACACTTCGGCCGCGCATTTCGGGCCAAACCAGGCGCCGCTCGACGCGCGCAAACATCCCCCGCGCAAAATGTCCGGAGCAGGGCCGCGACGGAGCGGATCTTTCCAAAGGAGCTGACCTGATCAAATCCGGAACCTGTTTTGACAGGGAAGGTGCGAATGACAGCTTCGAGCTCCGAAGCAGCGCGGGGGGCGGGGGTGCCGGGCCAGTCTCCCAGGAAAGCAGGCTCATCCAGGGTTTGTCCTCCAGTGCAAATTCTCCCCCCACTCCTTTTGCGAGATGCCCACCTTCTCCTGCGAGTTGGCGGGCCTCGGCGCGCAGTGGCCCGCGCCGCTCGGTTGCCGGCCGACGGGGGTCGCGGAGAAGGAGGAGAGCGCGGACGCGCCGTTGACGGAGCGGGCGTATATCCATGAGCCCCATTGTTGCTCTTTGCGGCGAGCAGACCTCCGGCGTTGACTCAGAGATGCCCGATCGGCCCAAGGACCTACAATTTCGACCCAATCGCCGGAGGCATGGGCAACGTTGGCCAGGGCGTCGGCCCCAGAGATGCAGAGGTTCTCGCGGGGCACCGCGCGGGACTCGAAGGGCTTGCTCTGCCCGCAATATCATATCCGCAACGTATGGTGGTAACTTGAAAACCCGAGCCCATTCAAGCTCCACTCTGGAGTCAAAGGCATCCCGTTTGGCACTTCGCACTGGCGTCGGCAACAGCTCTGGCAGCTTCTCCCCGATGCTGCGGCTGAGTTTCTCCGACACATCCAATTGGGCGGGCGAGGGGGAATTCGCTCGGCACCTGCGTCGCGCGAACCCGCGCGCCACTCGCAACGCCAGCCATGCGCAGCAGGACTGGCGAGCGAGGAGAGGTGGGGGCGTCGTCTAAAATCTTGATGGAGTGAGCGTTTACCCCGGGGTTAGAAGAGGAGGCGACGAAATAATTTATGATGCGCCTAGCGGGCGGGCGCGCCCCCGTCGCGGGCGCCGCGCTCTCTGCATCTCAGCCCGCCCCCAGCCTGCCGAGTCAAGCTGATGCGGCCTTGTCTGCCAGCCACCCGCTGGCACTGAGGGAACATGGGCCGCTTTGGGGGCAAACCGAGCCGAACAAGTACATCACAATTGAAAGCTGCAAGGTGGCATCGATCCTTCAGATACAGGTTGCCCGAGATGAGAACCCCTGCGATCACGCCCCCGACGCGCGGGAGCGAACGGCGCCCAGGGAAATCCCAAAAGTGGTGGGCCCCAGGAAGGCTACGCCGATGCGTTTGGGCGCCATGAGGTGCCCCCATTCTCCGTGGAAGCGGCCCGTAGAAGCTTAGCAGACCACCCGTCGCGACCAAGGGGGGCCCCCGCGCAATCGACGTTCAAAACATTGTGGGCCCCCTGCGATCAGAGCGCGTCATAGCCAGAGAAACCGCCCGTCACTTTCTCGAGACTGGAATGTGCAGTAATCTTCCTAGTGCCACAGCGCCAATCTCGAGCCCTCTGCTTCTGGGAGGGGCCAGGGGCGCGCCCTTCTTTGCGCGGCGAGCGCGAGCCCTCGCGTTGGCGGCCCTCAGGCGCCGCGGGAGGTTTGGGCCTCCCGGCGCCAGTTGCGGCGAGAACATCGGAAAGCGCCGATTGCATCTGGTGGGCGTCTATACCCCGTTGGCGTCGGCGAGGGCCTCAGCCACGCTGGCGCTGGGGAGGGGGGAGACGAGGCCGCGCTCAACGGTGGCCGCCTTGCGCGCATCGCCAGCCCAGAAGTCATCGCAGACCACGTCGCCATCGTTGCTGCAACCACGGGGCGTGCTGCTCACAGAGAGAGAGAGTGGCCTCGGCAGCTGCTGTCGGCGGCGCGCACGCCGCCCTCTTGGCTGCCTTCTCGTTCCCGACCTGCGCCTTGGCGGAGAGTGGCCGGCTTACTTGCCCGGCCAGGCTGGGTCGTGCTGCTGGCGTTTCGCAGGCGTTTGCCTTGGGAACATCCGGT